TCTATAAATCGAAAGGTGACTACCACCATACCAAGGGCCATACCATCTTGGTTTTCATATCCTTGTTAACTTTAATCCGCTTTTGTATCTTCCTTATCCTATTTCTCTTCATCTTGTTCCACTTTTAAGCAAGATGGTTTCTTTCATCATAATATCTCATTGTATGTAACCATTTTCCTACATTGTTCACTCCCCATTGCATTTATTTAACTGCGACAAGGTGCTTTGATAGGTGCTCGCACTGGGTACGTGGCTAGCGAGGATTGCTTGGACGATGAGCTGGCTGTCAGGGTGCTGCGCTTATTGCGACTGCTTGATTCTCGGCGTTTGCGCGTCCTGACAAACGGCTGCGGATGTGCCAATGACCTGAATTCTACTGCTGGTGTCCGATTAGAATTGGCGATGCTTCGCTTTTTTGGTCAATTTCACCAAATGTATCTCGGTGAAAACTCATGCAGGCCTTCAAAGGTAAGATAAGAACCTGATTCAGGTCCTGATCTGTTATATATAGGGTACTTTCGTGTTTTAGAGGTTATCCTACATGCCAATAGCTGTTTATTTCCTGCCTCTATTCAGATGTTCCTTCTATACCGTTATAACTTATACTCTAACATGCAAGCTCAGTTAGTTGTATTTATTAAACTCAAGTTTTTTCTTACATTATCATCAAATGTGTCTTGAGCCCATTTTTTCTTTTTATTTCATTACTTGTCTTGCTAGCTTAAACTATCTTTCGCTATTGCTTATATTCTTATGTCTGTAGCACTTGTTGGCGCCAATTCCTCTAAACTAAGATTTATGGAGGATTATATAATGGCCTGCATTCATCAAATCTGACCACTTGTTTCATACTTTGATTTGCTTACTTGCTAACCGAATAAAGCCAGATGGATATTTGAACTTAGTATGCTTCATATTAATTTATCGCTTTGAACAGTATTGTTTGTGAGATGTATTCACCATATTTCGTGTAAGGTGATGAAGGACTGATAGTAGAATTTTCCCACAATGATATG